AAACTTATCGAATCGGCCTAAAATCATTCGGTCAATTTTTTACCAGATGTCCCAAAATTTATGAGAACAGCTGTAATAGACCGGTCTTATTAAGGACCGAGACGGGCTGGACCGGACCGATCCATCCCTAGACCTTACCCACCCACACTATATCACTCCAAAGCAACAACACACCAACTCAACATCAAACTAGAAAAATGAAACTCTCTATTTACTCAATACTAGACTGAGCGGGGACTTTGACCTTTCTTAGCAAAGTCTGGGTCGTAAGTAAACTAGCCTAAGCCATAGATTTCATAGATAGACAATATGTACTACATTGTAATTTATATAATGTACATATATTTGAAATCAATTAAGCTGAGGCAAGATCTCACTTTTAAATAAAATAATAATAATAATAATAATAATAATAATTCTACGTTATGTTTAATTCTTTGATAAGAAAACGCATTACTACCGTTGCAGTTTTAATATTTAACCAAAGTAATAGGCGATGGTTCGTATCCAAAGGTAACAAACCAACCGAATCAAAAGGTAAATTGACAGTATTTGTGTCGCAAACTAGAAACCTAGAAATTTTTATAAGAATTTCAGTTTTTATTCGACGATATTTATTTTATCAGTATACAAACTGCAATGAATTCTCAAAATTTATTTAAAAACAAAGATGCCACCAAACCGCCAAAGCCTGTACCATATTTATTATTAAAAGATGTAAGTGTCATATGTACGTCTTTTACGAAACAAAAACGTGCATCATCAGGAAAATTTTAAATTAGCTGGCAATCGATTGACAGAAAGAAATGTCAATCGATAAGCAGCACCCCTGCCGATTACCAGCGATACTGACTGACAATAAAGCTGCTAATTAAAATCGATTAGAATCGCTTTGATTGAAATCGATTGATATCAAAACTAAATTAAAATCGATTGTTTTTTAATCGATTGTGCATCGATTAGCTACCAATATCGATTATTGTCGATTTCCTAATTGATGGTAATCGATATCCACCTATTTAAAAATTTCCTGATGATATTTCTAAAGCTGATTCAGACCCACTCTATAGATGATGATACTCTCAGAAGTATTATGACAAATAGAACATTTCCGCGAATCAGGAATGACCTCTTTACATTGATCGTACGTCCATGGCGTGAAAACAACACCTACTACAGTAATTACTTTAGATAAATCGTTTAGATTCTCAAATATTGACTCCAACATTAATTAAATTCTTATAACCTCGCGCAAGCTAAGAAAACCAAAGAACTCATCACAACTTATCGACTTCAAACTGTGGTGTCTAAAAAGTTAGTTAGTAAACTTGCTACAGTAAGGAATCGAATCAAACGGCGTGTTCGTGAAGCAGCAAGATATGCGTTACCAGCTGTTGGAAGAGTTCGTAAATATCATGTGAATTATACATACAAAGATATTTAATCGATATACGATTTTCACATTGAATCTTATTAATCTAAAATAAATAGGACATGACTATCTTTTTTTGGCCGGCTTGAATGTTTATAACGCTTCCTGGAAGGAGCTTTGCGTGGCAGTTGAAAAAGCAATTGGGAATCCAAAGTTATACAAGACAAGGAATTAATTTAGAACCATAACTCTATTTCGGTCAAATATATTAATCCGGTCCAGAATTGGCTATTTCAGAAAATCATAATTAAATGGAATGATTCAGAATTAAGGTTCAGGTTTCTGATTTCGAATTAAATTAGTGATGTATTTATTTCGAAATAAATCTTATTTATTTTGATTTGTAAGCTTATTTACATAATAACTTTTATGATCGTGAATTTTCTTCGAGACTTGATATCTTTTCGTATATATTTTAAAATATCTTATATTTCTGATCGACAATTACATATTAAAAACATAAATAGTATTTTAGAAGTATTATAGAAGAATATTCTAATAGTACTCATGAAAATATACCGTATATTCGCGCGGGACGTTATTTTAAAATTTAGCCCGAATTAAACTTAATTCGGGCTAAATTTCGAAATTACACAATTGCGCGTTATTCCGCGAAAATACGGTAGCTAATATTCTCGAAAAAGAAACTGTTGGAGCTATTGCAAACAATTGGATTATATGATTTTTTCTCAAGTTCTCTTCTTTAGTGGTTTGTTAAAAGTTTTTTTGGGAGACATATTAATTATTAATAATTCGAAAATATGTAATATTAAGAATTTTAAAAAATTTTAAACGATAATTTGTTTATTAAAATATCATTTGATACCTCATTTTATCTCCGGATAACTCCTATTTCTTTTTCTGATTTCAAAACTTCAAAATAGAACTAGCTATTATTTTTTTTCTAGTATCCATGGGACAGATGCAAATACATTTATTTAAAGATATATATTTGGGGACATATTCATTAATTATATAAGTAAATATATAAACCGACTCATACTTACAGGTTTCCAGTTTATTTCAATAGACAATTTTGGACTGCTACATATCAAACCTGTCCAAAACTAATAACAACACTGGTCTATTTAATGTATCTAGGTCCAAAATTTCTTACCTGTTTAATCATTTAACTGGTTTAATTTAGCCGACATTAAAATTGTGTTGACCCATGATCAACATAATTCGTCCCGGCACTATGAAAAACTTTTTTGTGGTTAACCTAATTAACATATAATTTATTTATATACCTACCCTCTAAATGCAACACCTCTCTAAATGCACGTCTTCTTTTGGACCCAACTAATATTACATCTATAGATTTTTACCTTTCTAAATGCAATACCTCTCTAAATGCACGTGCTAGAGCTGGTCTCGATGATGTGCATTTAGAGAGGTCTGACTGTATGTCGTAAGTGGGAACCGAATTTAAGTTGATTCAGAATTTTTAAGGTTAAGGTTGGGATTTTTAGTATAATTATTCACTTACAACATATATAATAGTAGTAAAAAAAAATAGTTTAATGAAGAGATGGTCTACCAACACAGTATTTACATGATTTATCTCTCTTATCGGCATAGCAAAAGTTGTTATTATTTTAGTTTTGTTTCTCAAGTAATGGATTAGATCGGAAAAATGAAATATCAATTGCTGTATTGATAAGAAAGAAAAATCATATAGATGCTGTATTAATAGACCATCTCTTTAATAAATCAATTGTCACTTAATTTTGCAAACTTCAAATAATAGCCAGAACAAATTGATTTTAACTTGTTCAAGACATTTACTTTCTTTAAGATAAATATATTTAAAAGTAAGAGTATAAAAAGAATTATATAAAAAGAAGAAATAATAACAAAAAAAGTATTTACCAAGGCTAATAGTTAATAGCAACAAAGTATTAAGGAAAGCTAGCTTAATTGGATATAAAAAACTAGTCGTATATTAGCAAATTATATAAATGTAAACTTATGTAAGTTATTATGCCCTGAAATATTGCATAATAATTATGGTCTAGGCGGAATATTGTACAATAAATTACGAAATACAATATTACACAATATATAATGTAATATTATGAAATTTATTATGTAATATTATGAAATTTATTATATAAAATTATGAAAAAACATTTAAAATATTTCAAAATAATTTAAAACAATTTGAAATAATTTAAAACAATTTGAACTAATTCAAAACAATTCGAAATAATTTGAAAAATTTCACAATATTGCAAATATATATAAAATAAGTAAAATATTTTTTTAAAATAAATAAAATAGTAAGGTGTAGCAATCTAGTGTAGTGGTCTAGGCGTGGTTACCCTCTCCAAGCAGCAGGTCTAGAGTTTGAATCCCATGGATGATGATTTTGAAAATTAGATCTGCATTATGGTTAACGGTTGTCGATTATTGGTTGGATCTAAAAATTTGCAATCTTGATTACACAAACTAGTAATAAGAGCTTTGGCACAATAAATCTGAGAAACTGGAATAACTAAAAACCCATTTGGCAAGTCTTTAGCAATGATTTTTGACAGTACCACAGGAGGGCTGAATTCGAACCAGTGGCTGAGATCGGAAAACCGAGCAATCAGGTCCTAAATAGCAAAGGACATACTAGCCAAACCACCAGGTTGTCACACCAGAGGAAAGGGTATATGCTCCGAAAGTATAAACCAAAAAGAGTGTGTTTTTCAGGCACCTAAAGCCTAGGCAGACCGATCCATCCAGGTTGCCAGCTAGAAGTAAGGAAGAGACCGATAAAGAATCTAGATAAGAAGACGGTTCCAAATATAGGTACTGGGATTGTTGGAAATCTTACAAGGGCAGGAGTACGTAATGGGTGACTAATTAGAAAGGTTGTGCTTGAGATACGGATTGGGTTACAGCAGCACCCCAAAAGTTGGCTTGAGATACAAATCTGGTAGCGGCAGTACAACATGTACTAGTTAGATAAGAAGTTATCGAACATACAGGTGAATATATAAATTCTAAAGTGGATGTGAAATCTACAGGTGTTGCAAAAGCTATTACCAAATAGTAAATTATATTTTGGTTAAGTGTAGATAATTGACAGTTTCAACTAGAGGGTTTAAATGGGTACCCCCCTAGTTGGGATGCAGGTATAGCAGATAGTATAAAACCTTTAAGTGAACTACTTAAATTAAACACTCAAAAGGTGCACGTGTGGCTTGATATATCCTCGTTGTAATTGTATAATGTTATTTCTACTTAATAAAAAGTTTCTGGCTATAGAGGTCATCTTAATACCAAAAAAAATAAATAAATAAATAAATAAAATAGTTATTTAAAAATAAAATAAATTAAATATATTTAAATTATTATATAAATTACTAAAATATTGCAAAATATTGTAAAATATTTTGAAATATTTTACAATAATTTAAAACATTCAAAAGGTTATATAATAATTTGTAATAATAATTACTTGCATCACATAACTAATTAAATGATTATATCTCACTTTTCAATTACAATTATTAATCATAAAGATTACAATATTAATAATAATCCAATTTTATTAAAAATCTAATAATTATTATACAATATATAATAATTTATTTAAATTATTACTCAAACTCCAATTTCTAATCTTAACTAAACTAAATTCTTAAATTAACTTTCAAATAAAAACTAAAGAAATAACAACTCATCCAACAAAGACCTATTTATATCAAAAAAACAACCAACTAACAATAGCTTTGAAGAATAGTGATTTAGATACATTCATAACAGCAATGACAACTCAACAACATAACGTAAAACCATGATAAAAAACAAACAGTAATAAAAAAGAGCAGAATAAACAAAAGAAGGCTGAATAAAGTATTTATAAAAAATATTAAAATTTAAAGCTATTATCTGAAGAAAGAAAAATAAGAAACACAGAAGTTTGTACAAAGATAAACAGAAAACAAGTACAAAAAAAACCTATTTGATAAAAAAATATATCAAAACCAACAATAATAGATCAACTAACAACACTATATGACAAAAAGTAAAAGAATCGATAAAAGCCATCTCTGTATAAAAAAACAACAAAGCATGAAAATTTAATACTAAAAACTAAACAAAAATACAAAAAAAGACACTGCTAGCAACAAACAACACTACAAGTCTACTAACAAAAAACCAACTAGCAATACTACAAGCCTAGCATGAAAGACCAACTAATGACATTACAAGCCTAATAATGATACTATACAACAAAAAGCAAAATCATTAATAAAAGCCATCCCTGTATAAAAAAAACAAACAAAGTATGAAAATTTAATACTAAGAACTAAACAAAAATACAAAAAAAAAGACACTACTGGTGACAAACAATACTACAAGTCCACCAACAAAAAACAAACTAGCAATATCACAAGCTCAACATGAAAAACCAACTAATAACATTACAAGCCCAACGATGATACTATATGATGAAAAGCAAAAGCATCAATAGAAGCTGTCTCTGTACAAAAAAAAAAAAAAGCACAAAAATTTAATACTAAGAACTAAACAAAAACACAAAAAAAAGATACTGCTAACAACAAATAACACTACAAATTTACCAATAAAAAACCAACTAGTAACACTACAAGCCTAACATAAAGGACCAACTAACAATATCACAAGCCTGATGATGAAAGCCCATTAATGATATTACAACAAGTTCTAGTGAGCCCAAACAACAAAAACTAATTAATATTATTAATAACAAAAAATAATAAAATTTGAGAAAGTGTGAAAGTTAGGACAGGGCCATTTATTAGCTAATATTTTTTTATTAAAATCCTAACTCCCCTCTACCTAATATTAAATAAAAAATTTCAATTAGCTAAAACTATATATCAGATAATTTTTTTACCCCCTCTCTCTCTAGAATATTAGCTAATTTCTGGCCCTCCTCTTAGTACAAGAACTATACAAATATAAAAAAAAAAACAAATAAACCTAACAAATTATACTAGTAAAAAGGTGTACTGAAATAAATAACACCAATATGAAAAAAGACCGAACAACAATTATGTAACAATTCTGTTATCTGATTCTAAAAAAGAAATGTGAAGAAACATAGTAAAAGAAGTGCATGGTTGAATTTGAGTTTTGCATTCAATTACAAAATATTGATTCTAGTAAGTACTGAAGTAAAAGAAAAAAGAATTTAAAAAAAAATTAAAAATACTTATAATATATATTACAATATTAAGTTGTATAACTAGTGATTATAGTTTAATTCATAATTATAAATAATTGGCTGATTATTCATATTACTGTCTTTGGAACTTTAATACTGTAATATAATATCATAAGATAATCTGAAAGGTTTCGCAAAGTTTCAAGACTCCTAATAATTTTCAAATCTAATTTATACAAAACTATGCGAAAATGTTTAGAAGTATGTAATATTTTGCAAATTAGGTATATTATTAGTGATAATTTTTTTTAAAATTACACCTAATTTTTTTTTTCAATATATATTCTGTAACCTCAATTGAAAAGTTATTTTTATAAATTATGAAACATCTTATAGCTGATTTAAAATTAGTGAGCACTTGAAAATTTTGCTTAATTTCTATAATTATTTAGATTATTCTAATAATTTTCTAACTCTTTTTATATTTTCAGAACTTTGATCTGAAAACTGTAATATGATTTCCAAAGAGTTAAATATTTCATAAAATAATCCAAAATGTTTCAAAATTAAGCAAATTTTCAAGTCTTCTATTTATTTTCATAAATTAAAAAATTGACTATATACAAATTAGGGCTTATCATTTTCTGTGGCAATAAGCTGTCTATTTATATAAAATTATATAATTTTTAGAAATATGCAAGATTTTGCAATAATTTTTTTAGATTATATCTTTTAATATATATTTTGTAATCTTGATTAATCTGCTTATAATTTATATTATAGCTATTTTCGAGACACCTTATAGCTAATTTAAAATTAATAAAACATTTGAGAATTTGCTTAATTCCTGCAATCTTTCAAATTATTCTTATAAATTATCTAACTCTCTGGAATTTACTTTATATCTTTGAAACTTCAAAACCATGATGTAATTTTCAAAGAGTTAAATATTTCATAAGATAATTTGGAATTAAGCAAATTTTCAAGTCTTTTACTTATTTTTATAACAGTTTAAAATTGTCTTGTATTTATATACAAATTAAGGCTCTATGCAAAATTATACAATATTTTTTTCTATACAATATATCTGCTTTTTTGGCAAAATAAATTCAATAAAAAATTGATATAATATGCATACATAATTTAAAATCAAGTAGGTATTGAATTCAGAAAATTTGATACTTTCAAACTATATTTACTAGCAAATTATTAAAAAAATTTAGAAAGCCTATTATCGTAGTAGTAATTAGTCTATAATATATTTGTCTTTCATATTTGCATCTGTTTGCTTTGTCTTGACTATTAAATTAGTATATCGCAGATATTCTTTATATACTTCTGCCATGTATATAAGAGTCGTAACTATCTATAACTTTGTTATTAACTTATTTTTGACTTTTATATACATAGCAGGAGTATATAAAGAAGTATCTGCAATATACTAATTTAATATTCAAGACTAGTGATTTGAACTGAGAAAAATTTCCTTAATCGGTTAACTGAATCGAATTATTTCATTCAACCAGTTGCCAACCGATTAAGATTAAGATTAATATCTATACTATCTTCAAAAATTCTCAGAGTTTTACATTAATTTTGTTTTATCTTTTATATTCATTTATTTTCTTGTCAGAACTTTTTAGTTTCTTACTCACTCCTTCATACTATATTAATCTCACTAACCAGTTGTATCGAGTCAATTGATTAAGAATTTCTTCAACCGGTTACCTGAAATATATTCGGTTCGGGTCGGTTAACCGATTATGGCTTAACCAATTCAAATCACTATTCAAGACAAAGCAAACAGATATGAAAGAGAAAAGACAAGTATATTATAGTTTAGCTACCACTATGATATCTATTAACTCAAGACACTTAGATATATAGCTAACTTCACCAAAATTTTTAACAAAAAAGTAAACAATTTAGCTTACCTCCTCCAAAAGATCGGCATTGTTTATACTTTCTATTTTCGGATAAATAAAGTAGAATATAAACACAGAGTTGTTTTAGTAATAATATACACTAGTCGAAATTTTTTAATATTATAGGATGATATAAGGGTGATATGTATTAAAACATACATTATAAAATCGGGTATAAGATAATTGGATGATTAATAATATTTGTATAATATCTGTCAAATATCTGTAAGCCGATAGAGATAATATCTTAAAATTTTGTCAAAAAAAAAATATATAATTATAAATAATATAATTATCACTATATTTATCTAATATCTACCTTATATCTTTAGAATAATAGTTATATCTGTTAAATATCTGTTGGCTGATAGAGATAACAACTTAAAATTTTGTCAAAAAAAAAAATATTATTATGAATAATATAATCATTACAATATCTGTTTTATATTTTTATAATAATAGTAACATCTGCCAAATATCTGTAGGCCAATAAAGATAATATTTTAAAATTTTGTCAAAACAAGAAAATATAATTATGAATAATATAATCATCACTATATCTGCCTTATATCTTTAGAACAATAATTATATTTGTCTAATATCTGTAGGTTAATAGAGTGATATCTTAAAATTTTGTTTAAAAATAAAATATATGATTATGAATAATATAATCATTACTATATCTGTCTAATATCTTTAGAATGATAGTTATATCTGTCTAATATCTGTAGATCAATAGAGATAATATCTTAAAATTTTGTCAAAACAAACAAATATAATTATGAATATTTTAATCATCACAATATTTGCCATATATCTTTGAACGATAGTTTTATTTACTAATATCAGTAGACTAATAAAGTGATATCTTAAAATTTTGTCTAAAATTAGAAATATATGATTATAAATAATATAATTATCACCATATCTGCCTAATATCTTAGAATGATAGTTATATCTGTCAAATATCTGTAGGCCAATAGAGATAATATCTTAAAATTTTGTCAAAATAAAATTATATAATTTTGAATAATATAATTATTACCATATCTGTCTAATATCTTTAAAATGATAGTTATATCTATCTAATATCTGTAAACTAATAAAATAATATCTTAAAATTTTGTCTAAAAATAAAAATATATGATTATAAATAATATAATCATCAACATATCTGTCTAATATCTTTAGAACGATAGTTATATCTGTTAAATATCTGTAGACTGATAGAGATAATATTTTGAATTTTTTTTTTTTGGTATTAAGGTGAGGCCTTGCTTGTATCTTTATTGAGTAATTTATATAAGTAATTATATAGAAATAAAAACTAAATTTGTATAATAACAAGTATTTCTAAATTACATGTAAGAATTGGAGCTCAGACTAAAAGCTAAGGCTAATTATCTGCGACCTAAACCTACAAGACTTTAATAGTAAGTATATAATTTGTAGGAATACTGAATTGTGTCCATGCTGTTGACCATTGGCTAAATTTGCATTGTGCTTGCCCTTTAGAAGGACAGTTATTGTTTTCATGCTGTTGGTCTGATAGGCTACACAGACAGCTATAAGTGAATCTTTAAAGTCTTTTTCGTTGGCTTTGTACTTGTTTATATAAGGTTTGTTTAGCTTGATTAGAGATTTGTATATTGTGTTGCTTTTTCTATTTTGCAAGTCTTTTACAATATGGCTTCCAGATTTGCTCATAGGTCTCTGTAGAAATATGTAGAAGTATCTGGATTATAATGTCTGCTGCCTCTTTGTGTTGCATACCTACCACTTGTAGTGCTTGTAGCAAGTGGAATGAAATAAGTCCTTTTATAGTGGTAAATAGTGTGTGTGTTTGGGAATTGGAAGAAAAAATATTGTTGAAGAAAGTATGAGATTTGATAAGGTTTATTATTGCCCTCTGTTGTGTTGGAATTAGATCACTAAGGTGTTTGGTGATCATTTTCGAGATTGAGGAGTGAATGATTTGGCTAATTGTTTGGGATTATGACAGGTAAGCCAATGCGTAGCCGAGTCTTGGGCATTGCATGCGAAGCAGGTATTGGCTGAAAATATTTTAGGCATAATATTGTGAAAGTGGTAGTAGGTTGGCAGTTCGTTGAGCAAGTTTTTGACTCTGAATGCTTTCATCTAGTTTAATTTAGAAGATGTAATATTGGATATGGCTTTTAATTGTCATTGAGATAGAGCCAAGTTGAGCTCCAGTCAATTGTTTGAATATAACTCTCCCATTCAGCATTGTGTTTTTGCAAGGACCACATTGCTATTGTGTAAGCTCTGCCAATGTTTTTAATTAGTTGTCTAGTGGGTTTTTCTATTGATTGTCCTTTCCACTAGATAATAAAGTTAGGGTTGTGTATGTTGGTATAGTTAAATTGAAGGGTATGAGTT